TTTTTGTAGTACAATTAAATAGTATTCTATGGAGATACAAACTTGTGTTTTTCAAACTAAAACCTTTTTTTAATATAAATTATGTAGTGAATCATATTTTTAAAAGTTTTGTTTCACCTAGTTCAAGTTTGAATGAATGGTTTCTCAGGGTAAAATACCTTAACAATGATTTTATAAAAATATTACATAGATCTAATATTGGATMTAATATTTATTATATTATATTCTGTTAATTTTTAAAAATTATAAATTAAACATAAATTAATATCAATTAATTGTCGTTATTCGTTAGTATGAATATTTTAATAACTGAAAAACTATATGTTTAAACTTTTAATTAAGTTGGTAGTTAAATTAAAATATTTACAAAAATTAGCAGCTAAATATTCATAGTAGAGGATTAAAATTCTTATTTGGAAAAAAAATCAATTTGCATATCCATTGATCACATATTGTTCTTTAAGTAATATAATCAATCTCAACAGCTTATAAATATGGTTTTTAAATACGTTTAAAAAGTTCAATTATCAGATTTTTAACATCTAACTGCATTATTTATGAAAATTATAGTGAACATGCCAGGATGAATTACTCTGTATCTGAGCATATCGGCCTTGTACTCACTGAACAAAAATTTTGTTTTAGGTACCTTTTTTTTTTAAATTAAACGTTATACGAATCTTTTGAGTTTATTGTTATTTAAAATTAAACCCTTATATGTATTTTGTATTCGCTGTTATTTAAAACTATTTTTTAGATTGTATGGACATTATTTCTGATGTATATCTCCTTATTTCTAACGTATAATAATTTAACAAATATTAAGTACTACTCCGTTTTTTTTTCTAATATGAGAGTGAAAAGACACACAAAATGACTCATAATTAATTGACTGTAAAAAGACTGTATAAACTGTATAAACTATTAAAATAACTTTAAGATTATAAAATTTTGTAAATTTTTTATTGCTTATAACTTCCATCATAATATAAATGTCAAAAATACCTCTCGGCTCGCCTTAGATTTTAGATAATATTTTTAATATTTTCACCCTTTAATTTGATGTGGCAAATTATACTCCAATATTAAAAACATTTCAGAGCAAAAAGGTTTTTTCTATGGATAAAATTTATGCAGTTAGTAAGACGGAAAAACATATACAACTGGTAAAAAGTCATTAAATATTCTACGATTGCCATCATAATATTACGCTGTGGTTCACGAGCGTGTGATGATAAAGTTATATAT